TCACACACACACACACTCACACTCACTCACACACTCACTCACACACTCGCACTCACACTCTAATGTTAGCGCTGATCTGTGTGTGTGAGCGTCTGAGCACATGAACAGTGTTTAACAGTGATATGCTATTGTTCTGTTTTTATTCATTGTTTTCAAACGCTTGATTGATTTGATCATATTATGATCAGAGGGCTTCAGACTTGTTCTTTTGTTCTGCTGGCTTTATTTTGGACTCATTCTGAAACGTGAAGATCAAGCATGACTCAGTCAAAAACAGCTGGCGATCTGGAGAACTTTGACTTCAATAAACTTTCAGCAGATCCAAACTTCATCTGCTGCTCGTCATCGAGTTTATGGGTTTCTGTTCTGAATCGAACTGTTCCTCAACAAAGGAACTAAAGGCGTGTGTTTGTGTTGGTGCTGATGTCAAGTCACTTTTATTTGTTTTAAGCAGCTCTCAAAAGCATAAATGAAAATACAGTCGCTCTTAAGTGAATATAAGCCCTTGCCAAAGGCTGATGTGAGTTTAACGTTTCTCACTGGTCACAGATAAGCGGAAATTTAATCAGCAGTCATTTAAGAAATATAGGACACAGCTTTCATTTCGATTAGTAACGTCTCAGTATAGCGACAAGACAAGTTCCAGACAGAATTACTGTATCATGATGTCTATCTTTACTGTGGTTGAAATGACTCGTATCAGCAGGGAGCTGCTAGAAACTCGTGTGATTCATGAAAACTCCAATGCGTTATTAAAGCCATCAATACCACATGAGCTTAATGACTTATGTTTTCATATTTTACTGATCAGTGGATTGTGTTCCTGATCAACTGCACATTTCTGCTTTAAACACTCAAACACATGAGTACAGAGACAGTGTTTTACTGTACAGAAGGTTGCTGTCACATACAGGCAGAACAGTATTAATAAAGCTCAGACAAGCACGGATCAAGGTTTAGTGTGAACGACACCAACTCATGAAAGCATGTTGAGATTCAGAGTTTGGACTCCAGACCGTCGACATGAGTGCTCTCACGCTCGCCATCATCTACAAACAGACAATCAAATCAAGTGATCATTACTGCTATAAACACACAAACACACAGTCTGATAAGAAACTACCTTCAGGAACATCCCAATTTTAGGCAGTTACTACTTTACTTTTGAACATGGCATATTTGACAATACACTAAGGCGCTTATTGCACCATCAGCCCATTTCACAGCAAATGTTCTCCACCTGCTTTGAGAGTGCATTAAATTTGACATAAGTGCTTCATACTAGGGCTATTGCTCTAACAAAATACAACTTTTGGGCAGCTTTTACTGTACCAGTCTTATTTTATGGACCCTTAAACTTGGCATATTTGACAATACATGGGTGATTATTGCACTGTCAGCCCAATTCGCTCTCACTTTTCTCTGAAGTCTTTGATGGTGTGTTAAAGTGCATATAAGAACTTCATACTAGGGCTACTGCTCTAACAAAATCCACATTTTGGCCAGTTTTTACCTTACCACTTTTATTTTATGGACCCTTAAACTTGGCATGTTTCACAATACATGGGTGATTATTGCACTGTCAGCCCAATTTGCTATCACTTTTCGCAGAAATATTTGATGTTGTATTAAAGCAAACAGAAGAGCTACATACTAGGGCTATCGGTCTAATTAAATACAAATGTTGGCTAGTTTTTACATTAGCAATCTTATTTTATCAACCCTTAAATTTGGCATATTTAACAATACACAGGCGATTATTGCACCATCTGCCCAATTCTCTTCATATTAGTACTACTGCTCTAAGAAAATCCAAATTTGGGTGAGTTTTTACTTTACCAATCTTATTTCATGGACCCTTGAACTTAGCATATTCACAGCAAATTTTCTCCAACTGCTTTGGGGATGCATTAAATTGGACATTGGTTCTTCATATTAGGGCTATTGTTCTAATTAAATCCAAATGATGAGCAGTTTTTACTTTACCAATCTTATTTTATGGACCCTTGAACTTGGCATATTTGACAATACACAGGCGATTATCGCACCATTAGTCAAATTCACTATCACTTTTCTCTGAACTCTTTGAAGATGTATTAAAACAGACAAAAGCATTTGATACTAGGACTACTGTTCTAATCAAATCCAAATATTGGGTAGTTTTTACGTTTCCAGTCTTATTTAATGGACCCTTGAACTTAGCATATTTGACAATACACAGGCAATTATTGCACCATTAGTCAAATTCACTATCACTTTTCTCGGATCTGTTTGATAGTGTATTAAAGCAGACATAAGGGCGTCATACTAGGGCTACTGCACTAATGAAATCCAAATTTTGGGCAGTTTGTACTATATTAATCTTGTTTTATGACCCTTGAATTTGCCATATTTGACAATACACAGGCACTTAACTGCACCATCAGACCAATTAGTGACATTTCTCTGCCTCCTTTCAGGATGTGTTAAAGCAGACTTAAAGGATTCATACTTTAATCATGAAACAACAGACGTGTGGTATGTGCTCATATTTGGTGTGTGTGTGTTTCTGAGTGCGTGTGTGTGAGTGTTTGTGTGTGTGTGACTGTGTGTATGTGTGTGTGTTTCTGAGTGTGTGTGTGTGAGTGTGTGTTTCTGAGTGAGTGTGTGTGACTGTGTGTATGTGTTTCTGAGTGTGTGTGTGTGTGTGTGGGAGTGTGTGTGTGAGTGTTTCTGAGTGTGTGTGTGAGTGTTTCTGAGTGTGTGTGTGAGTGTTTCTGAGTGTGTGTGTGAGTGTTTCTGAGTGTGTGTGTGAGTGTTTCTGAGTGTGTGTGTGAGTGTTTCTGAGTGTGTGTGTGAGTGTTTCTGAGTGTGTGTGTGAGTGTTTCTGAGTGTGTGTGTGAGTGTTTCTGAGTGTGTGTGTGAGTGTTTCTGAGTGTGTGTGTGAGTGTTTCTGAGTGTGTGTGTGAGTGTTTCTGAGTGTGTGTGTGAGTGTTTCTGAGTGTGTGTGTGAGTGTTTCTGAGTGTGTGTGTGAGTGTTTCTGAGTGTGTGTGTGAGTGTTTCTGAGTGTGTGTGTGTGAGTGTGTGTTTCTGAGTGAGTGTGTGTGTCTGTGTGTGTGTGTGTGTGTGTGTGTGAGTGTGTTTCTGAGTGTGTGTGTGAGTGTTTCTGAGTGTGTGTGTGTGTGTATGTGTGTGTTTCTGAGTGTGTGTGTGTGAGTGTGCTTCTGAGTGTGTGTGTGTGAGTGTGCTTCTGAGTGTGTGTGTGTGTGTGTTGCTCACCCAGTGTGTGTGTGTCCTGCTGCAGTAGTTTGGGTCCGGTGAGTCCGATGGCAAGCGCTCCGATCGGAGCCGTGATGAGAATCGCAAGAACTGCCACAGTCAGAACATCCAACCCATAAATCTGTAGCTGCTCGTCTCCAGCACTGCGGGCCATGTCCAACGCCGTGGAGCCGATAGCCGCCTAAACACACATACAGTATGTAGGATAACACAACAGTGATGTCATTTCCTGCTAAACTGATGGACTTCAAGAACGATTTCATCAGGACTCACTTGTACTGTGGCTTTGGGCATCCAGGCCAGTGATATAAAGATCTTCTCCTTCATATTAAAACCAGCAAACAGAACCATGCAGAATGTCACCAAAACACGGACCAGCAAACCCACACACAGAGTGGAGACACCCAAACCTACACACACACACACACACACACACACACGCACACAAAACAAAACAAGTCTGTTTGTAATCTAGGGTTTTTCCAAGTCAATAAAGCTACTTTCTTTAGACACAAACAAAAAAGGCTTGACAGGTATGTGAAACAATGCTTGAGTTAGAACGTAAAAACAGAAGGGTTTGTGTGAGATTCTGTGACTGACCGACAGTATAAGCACTGAGAGACGAGATGTTGATTTCTGCTCCAATCAGACCAAACAGGAAGTCGGAAGTGTCATATTTAGGAGCTCTGACCACATGAATGATGAGTGAAGGTAGAACTCTAGCAACCAGATGAGAGATCTGAATGTTCCTAATGAAGTGACAGTGAGTGCAGAACACAGTCTAAACTAATCTCTTTCACCTTTTGTTCTGCCCAGCTGAGTCCAGCGATGAAGGCCAGGACGAGTGTGCAGAGACCGCCGGCGCCGCCCAGACCCGTGGCCAGACTCCCGAAAACACTGAACACAGACAGACCCAGCAGCAGACCGCAGCGCCGCAGCACCACATCTGACTGCACACACATTCACTTTACTAGATTAATAAGCACATCTCATTTCATCTCAAATCAGCCAAATTTTAAAAGCGTCTCAAGCTCCAATTTCTGATTTTATTAATATTTTTTCTAAAGACAGATAAACATGTATAGTGATGAAAGCCAAACTATTAAATGTCATGCATGTATATTTACAGAGTAATGCACTATTTTGTAGATATTCAGAGATTTGGAGCCAGATTACAGAGGGTTAAAAATGACTTCAGAAAGATGGCAGCATCATGATGTTATTTTCACACAGAGATTGGCAGCTCTGTTAGTAAAATCTGTTGACTTCAGCAATCTGTGTTGCATTTTACATTTACATTACATTTACATTTAATCATTTAGCAGATGCTTTTATCCAAAGCAACTTACAAATGAGAACAATAGAAGCAATCAGACCAACGAGAGAACAACAACAGTATACAAGTGCCATGCCAAGTCTGAGTTAGTCTAGCACAGTACACGTAGCTAGGGTGCTTTTTTTTTTTTTTTAATAACAGAATGGAATAAAACAGAACAGAATAGAATAGGTAAGTGCTAGTATTAGTTGGTCAGGTGCTGGCGAAAAAGATGTGTCTTTAGATGTTTTTTGAAAATGGCTAAAGACTCAGCTGCTCGAATTGAGATCAGTTGCAGAGGCTTGATAGTGCATGTGGGAAGGCCTGCCAAGAGAGCATTACAATAGTCCAGTCTGGAGAGAACAAGAGCTTGGACAAGCAGTTGTGTGGTCTGCTCTGACAGGAAGGGTCTAATCTTCCTAATGTTGTATAAGACAAAGCTGCAGGACCGGGTCGTTGTAGCAGTATGGTCTGTGAAGCTTAACTGATAATCAGTTACAACTCCGAAGTTTCTGGCTGTCCTGGAAGGAGTTATGGTTGATGAACCCAGCTGTATAGAGAGGTTGTGATGAAGTGCTGGGTTTGCTGGAACCACAAGCAGTTCTGTCTTATCAAGGTTGAGCTGAAGGTGATGTTCTTTCATCCAGCTAGAAATATCTCTCAGACAGGCTGCAATGTAAACAGCTACTGTCGGATCATCTGGTTGGAATGAGAACTGGAGTTGAGTGTCATCAGCATAGCAATGATAGGAAAAGCCATGCTTCTGAATTACAGAACCTAGTGACGACATGTAGATGGAGAAGAGAAGTGGTCCAAGCACTGAGCCCTGAGGAACCCCAGTAGCAAGAAGTTGTGACTTAGAAACCTCACCCTTCCAAGACATCCTGAAGGACCTACCTGAAAGGTAAGACTTGATCCACTGGAGTGTGGTTCCTGAGATGCCCATCTTCATGAGGGTGGACAGGAGGATCTGGTGGTTAACTGTGTCAAAAGCAACAGACAGATCCAGCAAGATGAGTACTGAGGATTTGGAAGCTGCTCTTGCCAGTCTCAGGGCTTCAGTAACCGAGAGCAGGGCAGTCTCAGTTGAGTGGCCGCTTTTGAAGCCAGATTGGTTGTTGTCCAGGAGGTTGTTCTGTGCAAGAAACATACAGAATTGGTTGAACACAACTCGCTCAAGTGTCTTTGCAATGAATGGAAGAAGGGATATCTGTCTGTAGTTTTCTAAAAGTGCTGGATTTAGAGAGGGTTTTTTAAGCAGTGGGGTTACCCGAGCCTGCTTGAATGCTGTTGGAAAGTTCCAGTGTGAAGAGAGGTGTTGATAATGTGAGTAAGCGAAGGTATGACTGAAGCAGAAATGGCCTGAAGGAGGTGAGTGGGGATAGGATCAAGTGGACAAGTAGTAGGATGATTGGAAAGGATAAGTTTAGAAACGTCCGTCTCCGAAATGTCCGTCTCCGAGAGTGGAGAGAAGGAGGAGAGAGAGTATGTATTAGTCGTTACACACTAATACACACTCACACACACTAATACATACATCAGTGGTGACAGTTCAAAAATGGGGAAAAAACTTTACCCCAAAGTTTGCATGGCTGAAACTCAATAAGTATTGAAAATATCTTAGTATCTTTAATACTTATTAATATCTAAAAGGATTCTGTTTCTTAACAAACTTTTCTTTTGGTATCGTAATTTTTAAGGCCCTGTATGGTTCAGTTCCAGAGATACTGGGATCTCAATGCGGCTCCATGTGCAAATTGTTGATTCCAAACATATGATGATGCCATATTGATAAAGTCATTATACATTTACAAATGTGTGTGTGTGTGTGTGTGTGTCACCTGATCCTCGCTGGGTAAGAAATGGAGCAGAAGTCCCATGACTCCTCCTGCCAGAACTCCTGCCAGCACCTCCAGAACTCCTTTAACCACATTCATCCATGTGGATCCTTTGGAGAACAAACATTGTTTGAATCACATATAAAAATTGGAATCACATGAAGCAGGTATTGAAATTACTGTGTGTGTGTGTGTGTGTGATACCGGTTCCGAAGGCGATGCCCAGGCTCGTGGTGAATCCCGTGATGGCGAGGATGTCGTCGAAGCTCCCAGCAGCCATCAGGAGTGTGGGAACTCCTTTCTGAACACCGAATCCTTCCGACTGCAGGAGCAACATGGACGGAACCACCACAGCCGGAGAGACGGCGGCCAGAACGAAACTACACACAGCATTCACCAGTCAGGCCCTTTCACTTCTTCAGTGTGAACGTGAATTTGTCAATTCTAATGAATTCAAACCTTTTAACCATGAAAACTGACAGAAGACAAACACCAAACGATTTGTTACCCGAGCATGAAGCTCCATATCCAGGGCAATTCCAGCAGAAAATGAGCCACTACAGCCACCGTGCACGCCTCGGTAAGACACGGGCCGACAGCAACCCTCACACACACCGCCTTCAGACGCCGCAGGGCCTGGAACACACACACACACACACACACACACACACCCAAACAGACACACACACACACGGATAAAGGATAAAATAAGGATAAAATCACAAAATGAGTGTCAGCTGGTCAGAGGGAAGTTGTGCAGGAACACATTCAGCAACACGTTACTGTCATTTATTTTTCTGTAAATGTAGAGACTCATTATTATAATCTCATTACATTAAATGTTCTTAAAAGACATAAAATTCAAGGTTTTAGTATTAGCTCCGTCATGCACGCGCATCGTTAAGTCTTTTAAGTTTAAGAACGCACTGATTTCAGTTCATTATATTTACACAGTGTCAAATCCGTTGGAAATTATTGTAAATAGTCTGAAGCTTGTCATGACAGCGGTGAGGACGAAGCTCAAATCATAAATGAATCTAGATCCAAAAACGTAACAATATCTTTATTTATATAGCAACATGACACAATAGCTAAATTTAAGAGGGAATTCCACTAAATGCTTATAAACGTGAGTTTTTGGTCTTACACTACTGCTGCTTCACGGAGGTAAACAAACTCTTCTTCTGCGGCGCTTGATTGCTTTATTCCTGTAGTCGACGCTCGAACGATGCACAGACGCAGACACGAGACAGCGAAGCCTGTGCTGTGCATTTACAATCTGAGTCAGAATGAGCTTTACTGCCAGATGTGTTTACACATATGAGGAATTTGATTTGGTGACAGAAGCTTCCACAGCACAAACAGATTCACAAACTCTTCTTATGCCGGGCCGTTCTGGTGCTCAGTGCTCTGTAGTTCAGAGAGGAGATGTGCTGGATGTGAGGGGTCCAGAGTGAGTTTACCAGCTCTTTTACTCACTCTGGATGAGTACAGTTCTTTGAGAGTGGGGAGGGTTGTGCCAGTGATTCGCTCAGCAGTCCGGACTATCCTCTGTGTAGTCTTCTGAGGTCTGGTTTGGTGGCTGAGCTGAAGCAGACAGTTATAGAAGTGCAGAGGACAGATTCAATGATGAGAGCAGGGTTGCTGGAGGTGTGAATAGACCAATTTGGAGTAGACGTCACAGCTGCGCGCACATTGTGGTGGCAGAAAAACACTGGGAACGAGTGGAGGAAAACGGGTAAAATCCATGGAATAAGAATAAAAAGGTATTGTTGTGCCTTTAGATGTCAGAATAGGAATGGAAATAATTTTTATAGAATACTGACGTCAAAGACGTCATTTGAAGCTAAACGCAGACGTTTAAACGGACAGACTATGGATGAAACCTGCTATGATTACCCTACTTTTAAAGCTTAAATTTGATTTAAACAATAGGTCTTCATAATATTCACATATGCTGTTCATAGTGGACATATTGTATTAGCCCTACATTTACATGAAATAGCCTACTATTTAAACCTATAACATTTACCTATTTTATCTCACAATTCTGACTTTTTTTCTCACAAATGCAAGTTTATATCTCCTAGTTCGGACTTTATAACTCAGTTTAACTCAACAATTGCGAGTTTGTTCATTCTGAGGGAAAAAAGCCAGAAGTGTGGGATTATAATGATGAGTTGGTTTTTCTTATCAGAATTGTGAGATATAATCTTGGAACTGCGAGAAAAAAGTCAGAATTTTGAAATATAAACTCAAAATTAGCTTTTTTTTTCTTTTATGCCATGGCTTCCGTAGACTGCTACTTTAAAACGGGCATGTTCTGCCACCAGATAGGCTCCGCCCACAAAAAGCGTCATCACTGTTTGAAAACACTGAAGTTGGTCTACAGATCCACGGAGAGAAGGTCAGAATAGGTGTGGGGTGTGAGACAGAGTTTTTCAAACCTGCAATAAAACTAATTCAAATCTCCGGCCAGTTGTTGATTCTCCACAGTGCTGGGGGACAGTGTCTTGTAGCTGGTGACGTCTTTCAGTCCTTTCCACACTGATGCATGGTCATTGGCTGAAAACTGGTTTCTCACCTTTTCAGAGTAGTTCCTCTTAGCTGCTCAGTTTGTTGTATACAAGATTCTGTCCCCATTCCTGTAGGCATCCTCATTGGCCTGACAGAGCTGTCTGAGTTTAGCAGTGAACCATGGTTTGTCATTGTTGTAGGTTAAATGAGTCCTGGTAGGAATGCACATATCTTCACAGAAACTAATGTATGATGTTACAGTCTCTGTGAGCTCATCCAGATCGGTGGCAGCGGCTTCAAAAACACTCCAATCATCGCAGTCGAAGCAGGCTTGTAGATCCCGCTCTGCTTCATTAGTCCATCTTTTAACAGTCCTTAATACAGGTTTAGCTGATTTCAGTTTCTGCCTGTAGGTCGGTATAAGATGAACCAAACAGTGATCAGAGAGTCCCAAAGCTGCCCGTGGGACGGTGCGATATGCATTCGTTATTGTGGTGTAACATTGGTCCAGTATATTACTGTCTCTGGTGGGACATGTGATGTGCTGTCTGTATTTTGGCAGATCACAGGAAAGATTTGCTTCATTAAAGTCTCTGAGAATGGTTATCAGAGAGTCTGGGTGTTGTTGCTCGGTGTCTGTGATCTGATCAGCCAGCTGTTGTAGCGCCGTGCTCACGTGTGCTTGCGGAGGAATGTAAACACTCACGGGAATGAACGAGGAAAACTCCTGCGGCGAGTGGAATGGCTCAGTTGATGAAGAGCACTTCTAGATCGGGACAGCACATCTTCTTTAACGCTGTTACATCTGTTGACACCTTTCATTGATGTAAAAGCATGTCCCACCGCCACGTGATTTTCCTGTTGATTCTGCGTCGCGGTCCGCTCTGAACAGCTGGAAGCCTGGCAGATGTAACCCTCTGTCCGGAATGCCTTCATTCAGCAAGGTTTCCGTCGTTACACCGAATTCTGTGACCTTAGTAGGCACTGTAGTGAGGGTAGGTTTAGGAGTAGGTCAGATTAGCTCAATACAGCGCCTACTATGGTCACAGAATTCGGAGCAACACCGCTGCTCCGCCAAATACAATGTCCAGCAAAACATCAGAATAGTCAAAAACCGGTGAAATATTGGGTTGTGTGTACTGCCGAATGTTCAGCAATTCGTCCCTGGTGAAACTGATTGTGGGAATATATAGCTAAAAACAGGACAAACTAGCAAAAACATTAAAAAAACTGTGGAGCTCCACACCAAGGTGGCCATCCGCAGCCCCATCTTGTTCATACATATTTAGCTGAAGTTGTCACTCTGATTTACTATTTGGGCGGGCGTTCAATATGGATATGTAACGTGGGTGGTGTATCGCGGTTTTTCGGTTTAGTTCAGTTGCCTCCGTTGCCTCTTTGAAGGGGTTTTCACTATATTAGTAAGGACATTTTGAATAGTGAAAACATACTGGACCTCACAAGCATAGACAGACCTGTATACTTCAACCACTATAGAGCCTGAAACACACACACACACACACACACACACACACATACAGCAGCGTTGAGTCCCAGACCGGCTCTGGTGAGAATCACGGCAAGAGACACGTTCCTCAGAGCCGCAGACCAGTTCTGATCAATATACACAGCGTCTGTGACGTACGGCACGTTACGCAACACCACACCGGCCAGCAGCATCCCTGAAACACACACACACAATATATGACATCAAGTTCACAGATACTGGATGCATGAGCGTGCATTCATACAAAAAAAAATCATAAAACGCATTCATACAAATCTCTGATATACTGTATGTATTGTCAGAGAAAGGGTTAGTAGTCTTAAATAACTACCGCTACTTTCGCACACATTCAGGGTTGTTTACCCAGTAGAGCTGGTACTGGAGGGGTTCTGGGTAATCTGACGACGCTGATGAGTTTTCCTCCACACACGGCCGACAGGAACAGAATCACCAGGCCAAAGAGGTTCTGACCCGGCAGACACGCGGGTCCCGTCACAGCCCAGACCACCCCGAACACCAGCAGCCCCAACAGAGCTGAAACACACACACACACACACACACACACACACACACACACACACACTCAAAACCACCTTCATCTCCAGAGAGGTTTCATAGTTCACTCCTGATTCTGTAGAGAACGTTTGAACAGACTGATCGTCGTCTTATAAAATATCTACTGAATCACTGTCATTATATGGAATGTAGAGTTAGAGGAGAACTGACTCTCTGATGTCGCCTGGTTTCTCGCAAAGCTTTTTTCTCTCCATTATCCAACATCAAGTGTACTTCATTCCTTGCCACAGCACACTATTATTCTATGATTATTTGAAATAAACCCCTCAGTTAAGCTGCTTAGTTAATGATATAATCATAATTTTAACCCTTCCATTTACACGCATCATTTAACTATGCCTGTAATGCACATCACTAAGGGCTAGTAACTAGGCACCAAATTTTTATAAACAAATTATACAACTACAATAAGTATGTCCAACTTTACTCGCATGCATAAAGTATACTCATGTCATGCAACATAAACTATATGCTATTTATCTCAAATTCTTGATTATATTGTTGCAAAATGTATATTATCGTCCAGCTCTAATCTGATAAATGCGACTATAAGTCATAAAGATATCAAGACAGTATAAACATTAACATCATGAAATTCTGTAAAGCTGCTTTGAAACACTTGTACTGTGAAAAGAGCTATACAAATACGTAAAGTTTTTTAAGAGAAAAAATAACAGCGACACACCTTTAGTAATGACGGAGGCAGAAAAGCCATGTGGTTTGTAGCGGAGCAGTTTACCACAGTAATCTGATGGTTTGGACGCTGTTTTCTGACCTGAGAGAAACAATAGGTTACTGTTTGTAACCCCGGTTCTCTGAAACATTGAGTGGAGAGATCCACCGATGAGAAGAGCATCCGTGCCTGAGCTCTGCAGAAGCATCTAATTGCATCCAGTCTAGCTTGACAGACAGGAGCGTGTGATCAATGGCAGGTAAACCGAGCGCATAAAGCTCCTGCACACACTACCTTTCCTCAGAGAGCATATTCGTTTCTCGTGCAGCAAGCGGGGCAAAGCTGGTGGATCTGTTGAAATGTACATTATCTAAGATAATGAAAAATGCTGTAGAAGTACTGTTTGTTGGTAGATCACAACAACTAACATGCTTAACCAATGTGAACAAATCAAACCTTATTTTAAAGTGTTTCCAGTGTATCTGTTTAGTGTGTGTGTGTGTGTCTTGTGTTGGTTACTCACAGGTTTCTGTTTGTTCTGCTGTAAGTCTTTCCTCACCCATTTCTTCCGACATCTGTAAGTGAACTTTGACACACACACACACACACACACACACACACACACACACAGTTTAATCATTAAAGCATGTTGATTCCTTCAGTTATACTTCATAACATCATAATTCTCAATGTTATCTATCTTGTTGATAAACAAGATTTTGAATCTCTCTCTTAACGCTTTGTTTCAGAAGATAATGAAAAAAAAGGAAAAAGGAAAAAAAAAAAAGAAAAAAAAGAAAAAAAAAATGTTTTCATGAATGTAGTTTATCAAGTAAAAATAGAAAAAAAACATAAAAACAGCAAAAAATAAAATAAAAAACATAACACAAAGACAACTGCACAGTACATATGAACTTATCACAATACAATAAAAAAAAATAAAAAAAATCAAACAAGAAATGCCAGAGCGTAAGACGATGGCTGATTTCCTAAGTGTTTAAAGCATGTATAGCTATAGGAACAAAAAAGGGTTCAGTTATTAATTATTAGGTAACTCAACTCTCTAAAGTGGGGTTCCTCAAACGCTGTCCTGCAGATTTCAGCTCAAACTCTGATCAAACACACCTAAACAAGCTAATCAAGCTCTCCAGAAGGACTAGACTATTACAGACAGGTGAGTTTGATCAGGGTTTGAGCTGAACTCTGCAGGACCAGATCTGAGGAAGCCTGATCTAAAGTTTACAAACCCTAACCTGATTCTTAACCCCAACAGAATCATTCATTCATTCATTCATTCATCTGGTAAATCTGCAGCTGTTTCTCAGGATCACAAACTCACTGGTGACTTCATTCCCTTCACTGGAAAACTGTACTAACTAGTACTGTTAACATGAACTAAACACCTGCTGTGGACTGTTCAGAGCCCAGCTAACAAAAACATGTTCTAAGAATGTTTTGCTAATGTTTCAAAACACAAGTTATGAAAACATCATCTCTGAACGGACTCTGAACATTCTGAAACTAGAACCGTTCAAAAACCATCCGATGAATGTCAGTTACAAGGCTTCAGAAAAATGAATGACGTATAGATAATATTTTTGTGCTAACGTTTGAAAACATTATTAAAGACCAAATAACTTTGAACATTCCTTTATTAATGCTACTGTAAGAATGTTTGTTCAAAACTTTGAGAGAACCAGATTAAAGGTTAATGGTACGGTTAACTTTAGGCTCTTAAACTGATACACTGACAGTAACTAAACATCATAACTTTAAATAACAATATAGTGACCTTTAACACTTCATGTCATAGCAATGCACTTAACCTTACCCTAACACACACAAAATGAGTTGTTGGGTGGTTTTGTCAGGCTTCTGGAGGCAAATCTGTCCTCAAAATATGGTAAAAACGAACACATCAACAATAACAGCAATTTACTGTTCAGATGGACAACACAAATAAAACAAAAAGAAAATGAATGTCAGTCTCACCTGCTGAAAGCTCTGAGAGAAGCAGCGACTGATTCACACACACACACACACACACACACACACACACACAGACATGGTACTATTCTGAGGTACTAATATGCACCTTTTAGTGGTACAAAGTTGTCCCTTTAAGGATACTGTCCCAGTAACAAGCTGTTGTGCCTCTAAATGTAAAACATTTTTTCTGACAGTTTGCAGTGAAAGTTTCAAAATACCTAGTTTTAATCAATAAAAAAGAAAGTCATAGAGGGTGAGTAAATGTGAGAGGTTTCATTTTTAGGTGAACTATCCCTTTAAAAATATAAATGTGGCTTTTTACTTTTACTGTGATTATAAAAAGTTATTACTGTAGGTTTTTCACATCCACCTGGTCTTCTGTATTTTGCAGGTACTGAGAAGCATGAGTTAACCTCATGGAAGAGCTTCCACTCCATCTTCAAGTTCTTCAGCGATGCCCTTAAGGACCACGAGGACGAGTCCTCCTCCAGTCCGGTCACCACACGCAGCTCCCACCGTATAAAAAACGAAGACTTATAAAGGGCTTGCAGATCCCAACCCAGAGCCCGCCCTCTTAGTTCTTTTTCTCCTCTGTTCTTTTTATGAAAAATATTCCTCCTTGAAGCCCTCCTCCCAGTGAATTGCATGACTCTGAGGAGTGCAGGGTCAGCCTGTATACATCAGAATAGCGTTTTGCATTACTTCTGGATGAGTGCAACTGTCAAAGCAATATGGCTTCACTGCTTGTGCCTCCTGTGGGCCGCTGTGTGGATTTGGTGGTGGCCCATCGGTAGCCAGATTAAGGCTGACAGCATCTTGATGCACCTCTAATTATCCTGACAGAACTGAGCTAATGCCTGTCACACACACACACACACACACACACACACACACACACGAGTCTCACAGCACATGATGTGTGAATCAGTGTGTGTTCATCACATGAGCTCTGCTCATCACAGCAGCATCTGATGAACCTTCAGTCACTGAGCTGAAGATGTGTATGCAACGTCACACATCACTCACGCTATTTGTTTTATAGTACTGATGTTTACATCTGTTTATTCCTGTTTATAGTCCAGCTGTCTGTGCCACGAGTGTGATGAATGACATGTGCGGAGCCGCCGGTGCCCGTGTGTGTGAACATCACCAGACCTGCAAACCACTTCCATTTATAGTCACCGGCCTGCCAGGGTGTGTGTGTGTGTGTGTGTGTGTGTGTGTGTGTGTGTGAACGAGAGATATTCATGATGGTGAAAAGACACTAAGACAGAATGTCATTACACACACACACACACACACAGTCTCACAAACAAACCAACACACACTGTCTCACACACACACACACACACTCTCTCACACACTCTCTCACACACACACACGCACACTGTCTCACACACTCACTCACACACACACACACACACTCTCTCACACACTCTCTCACACACACACACGCACACTGTCTCACACACTCACTCACACACACACACACACACTCTCTCACACACTCTCTCACACACACACACGCACACTGTCTCACACACTCACTCACACACACACACACACACTCGCTTGAATCAGATTGAAGCAGAATAGTAATAAATAACGACAAGAGTTTGATTCATGTTGCAAATGCTTAGAAATGTTCTGTTACTGTGTTGACTGCAATGACTCATGTCACACACACACACACACACTGTTATTGTCGTCTGTGCAGCATCTGGTGTGTTAGGAAAGCTTGTGTCATCTGGAAAATCACCACAAGATTCATCTGCTGCATTTTAGTTTGACTTTCCTGATCAGAGACACACGACACACACATGAAAGAACCAGTGAAGCAGTGAATCAAGATGAAGAAAATCAGTTCTCCTGCAAATCTACCAACAGAAACATTGTTTTTATATTTACCTTTTGGATAGCTAGTGAATACAGATCTGCACGCACGCACACACACACACACACACACACACACACACACACACACACACACGCACACATACACAC